AAGAAGAAAAATACATCTTTATTTTCAGTAATCTCTAAGTAAAATTTAGGATTTTGTTCAATTATGAATGGAGGTAACAGACCACAGTGGTATTAGCAGCGCCTGTGATTTGCTCTCCAATACAAATCACAATTATTTCCATATCCCACCAGACACACTACATTTGTGGCATATATCTCAGAATATCATTTATGCACATCACTTCTTCAAAATTACCAGTTATACAACCAACCACTTTATCCTGTAATTTAACACATATTGTAAATATTACTGTGCCTCATTTTTTTAAACTTTCTATTCTGAAATAATTATAAATATGCATGCAGTTGTAAGAAATAATGCAGAGAAATCCCTTGTTTCCCCCAGTGGTACCATCCTGCAAAACGATGTAACACTATCACAACCGAAACATTGACATTGACAAAATCTACCTATGTTATTCAGACTTCCTCAGACCTACTTGCACTTGTGTGTATTTAGTTCTATGTAATCTTATCACATGTGCAGATTCATGTATCTGCCATTACAATCAAGAAACAGAACAGTTCCATCAATACAAATACTCCTCTTTTTGCCCTTTCATAAACACCACTGGTAACCACTAACCTGTTCAGCACTTCTATAATTTCATCTTTTCAAGAATGTCATATAAATGAAATCACACAGTATTTTATCTGTTGGCATGGGCTTTTACCAAACCTTTATCATAACATGTTTCCTCTATTTTGTAATTATACTATATTTACTCCATCCACTGCCTCATGAAGGGAGAAAAAAAGCATGCTATCATTATAAATAAAGTCCAAATAACATCTTAAAATACTGGGTAGGACTTGATCAAGGATTATGCCCAATGGGAAAGGAACAATGAGTGGTACAGCCAGTTTCTTCAAGTGTACCACTGAAAGATGAGATCAATGGTGAAAATTTGATCAGAATTTGTTATGATGGGGCAAAGACTATGAAGTTATTTAATAACAACATTGTCTCTCTCTGCTTTACCATTTTATAGATCCAATTCCAAAAGTGACTTTAGACATTGTAGGAAAGCCAGTTTAATAATACTTTTGAAGGTTATTAATGTTTCCTACACCCTAGAAAGAAACTACATTTTAAGTAGGTAATGAAGGTATAAATTGTAAATGAAAACTCCTTCCACAAAACAAAAAAATTACTCCATTATTTTCAACCTCCTAACCTGCCAAAATATTTTATAAGTGCTATCACCCAAGATGAACAATCTGAATTTTATTCAATTCCTTGCCCACCTGCCGATGGGAGGCGCATCGATAGCACATCGATAGTAAAATGGAACAGGAAAACAAAGAAAAGTAAAAGATCTGTGAACAACTGGCATGTAAATAAATGGATGTGTGTCTTCGACACTGAATGGGAGTCATAAATTTAGATATAAACAATATCTTACATTTCTATACCACAAACATTTATCAATACTTTCCATGTTATACAATTTCATCTGAGTCCAACAATAGGGGAAGAGATTACTAAAACCTTTTTTCTTTTTTGCAATTTTTAAAATTGAGCCACAGAGAACTCATGATTCTGTGAGATTATATAAATAGCAAACAACTGGCAGAAGTAAGGCTAGAACAACTCAAACTCTAGAGTTCCATTATGTCTAGCTCTCTATGTAGCATGAAACCATCTTCAAGATAGCATGATTTGCTCTCAGTGGATGATTATAACAAAAAGGAAAAGTGGACGAAAGTTTCAAGAATATTCCTTGCTCGTAATGTTGTTAGGTGCCGCTGAGTCAGTTCCGACTCATAGAGACCCCATGCACAACAGAGCGAAACACTGCCCGATCCTGTGCCATTCTCACAATCATAGCTGTGCTTGAGCCCATTGTTGCAGCCACTTTGTCAATCTATCTCATTGACGGTCTTCCTCTTTTTCTCTGATCTTCTACTTTACCAAGCATGATATCTTTCTCTAGGGACTTGTCCCTCCTGATAACATATCGCAAGTACGTGAGACAGAATCTCGCCATCCTCACTTCTAAGGAGCATTCTGACTGTACTTCTTCCAAGACAGATTTGTTCGTTCTTCTGGCAGTCCATGGTATATTCAATATTCTTCGCCAACACTATAATTCAAAGGTATCAATTGTTCCTCCGTCTTCCATATTCATTGTCCAGCTTTTGCATGCATGAGATGACTGAAAATACCAGGTCTTGGTTCAGGCGCACCTTAGTCCTCAAGGTGGTATCTTTGCTTTTTAACACTTTGAAGAGGTCTTTTGCAGATTTGTCCAATGCAACAAGTTGTTTGATTTCTTACCCTTAATAGCTGTGTGACTATAGGAACTTAGTCACTGTTTTTTGCTTCCTGGACCCCAAATTCCTTATCTGCAAAATGGGAATAATATAGTTATCTACCCTCAGGGTGGTTGTAAAGAAGAAATAAGAATCCAGGTAAAATACTTAGCACGGTGCCTGGCATATAATAAGCACTCAGTTAACGCTTGCTATTATTATATCTTGTTTTATTGTTAATTTAATAAGCACTTCCTTTAAAAAATTGCCTAGTGAAAGAATTACTGGTGTTATGAAATTATTAGTTTCTCATTACCTAAATTATTCAGGCAGAAGAGAGATGTTCCTCTGTCAGGGACTTTCAGAAAGAATTCCTACTTTCAGATGGAGATTAGGCCATTGTTTTCAAACTGTATTCTGAGGGGCTATGTGGTTCCTTTAGCAGCTGCCTTGGGGGCTGAGGAGAGGATGTGTAAAACCAAAGGCTCATTGTGGGGAGGTACCAAGTCCTCTCCTACCCCTATAATGAGGGTGTTTACAGGCTTATCTGTTTTATATATTCATATTCCTTCCACAAATGATTTCCTTTGCATAAGATGTTAAATAAAATAAAGTTTTAAACCCACTAAGATAGATGATCTCAAAGGTCTTGCCCTTTTGAATCTATGATTCAGAGTACGGCAACATATGCATTCTAAAGCAAAAGCTTTTCTTTTTTAAAGTATAACATTTTAATTGGCCACCATAGTCTCTGAACACACATTGATTATCCAGGTTTTCACTTCCTTCAAAAACGAAAGAAAAGGAAACAAAAACACTACAGAGAAACAGGCACCTATGGTGTCCTTTTCATCTTAAAATATTTTCATTCAACATTTACTGGATTTCCATTAGGTTCCTGGAGCTGGGAGAACAGAGATAAACCAAGACATAACCCCTGCCATCAAAGAGGTTATATTTTTTGGGGTGGGAGTGAGGAAAAATAAGCAGACCAGTACTAAACAATGTTAAGTGCCAAAAAAGAAGTAGATACGGCGTGGTATGGGAGTGTGAAGGATACACCACTGAATTCTATTTAGAAGAAGGAGGTCAGGCAAGCTATAAAAGATGAGTACATATTCTCCCAAGGTAGATAGGAATATTTTAATCAATAGATACAATATACATCGAGGCATAATAAAACATGCCATGTTTGGGATTTGCTACTAGATCTACAAGCCTGGAGCTCAGAATGTACATGTGTATGGGGTAGGGCGTGTGTGTGTGCACATGCGTGTGTGTGTGCGCGTGCGGGCGTAGGGTGGTTTTAGGAAATAAGAGTAGGACTAGGTCTGCTAACTACTAACTAACCTATGGACTCATGTTTTTCACACTGGGATCTTCAAAAATATTCTAATTTGTCCAGGAGTTCTGTAAGATAATTTTAAATTCTGCACTTTCATTTCTAAGATGGCTGTTATAAAATTAATCTTATACTGGATCATCTGGATAACCACCTTATAACCAAGTACTGCCATGTAAACTCACATCCACATTTGCATTTAGCAAGGTTAGCAGCAAGCACTACATTCTCAGGTTAATGAAAACACAGATAACCTTAGTATGAAAACAATACATTGGTACTAAATAAAGACCAAATGACATTGCAGTATGCTGTACTAATCGAAATTTCACCGTAGATCCAATAAAGAAAACTCATGGTAGAATTGGGTCAACCTACACGTATTGTTGCCATGAATCAGAATCGACTCCTCGGCAACTGGTTTGGTGAGAGCATTCTAGGCACAGAAAACTCAAAAGTGCCTGCACTGTGGTGTATTCACATTGTGAATGGCAATTTGGGTTCAGCAAAACATCCTTCATCGCTTAAAATAATGTTGATTTAAATTTTATTGTTTTTTTTTTTTTTTTTTTTCATTTTTTTACTATGTATTTTGTTTTGTTTTGTTTTATAAGGTATGTAGGAGCTATTGGCATAGTTTATGTTTTATTTTGTGTTGGCACATAATTAAACAGTATAATAAAAATATTTTCAGTCAACACTGGGGTCTTTGAGAAAGCTTTTCCTTTAAAAGGGGTCTATATTTTGCTCAAATTTGTGAAACTGCCATAGATACTAGGAAGGCACTGAAAGGGTTTAGGTTATGGAATAAATAACAAACATTATTTATGTAGCTTTTCTCTGTTTTTTGTTCTGTTTTTGCTTTTTGTAGAACTATTCATTGCAGGCACACTGTCACTTTAATAAAGTCTCGTTTTAAATATTTACCTAACACTTTATGAGATCATTTCTAGTTTTTTTTTTTTTAAATGGCGTGTTCATTTCTAACCTGTTTCTTAAGTAGGTTTCCTTAGAGCATGACAAGAGAGAAGGAAAGAGAAGCGAGCAGAGAGAAAGGGACTTCCTACCACAAAGAAAGAAAAGCCGACAGCACAGCATATCCTTTAGACTCGGGGTCCCTGTGCTAAGAACTTCCTAGACCCAAGGTAAGATGGATGCCAAGACACACAGAGATCTCCAAGGAATGCCAGGCCCACAGATCTTGAAAGGAAACAAGGACCTTCTTCCAGAGCTGAGAGAGAGAGAAAGCCTTGCCCTAAAGCGGGCACCCTGAATTCAGACTACTGGCCTCCTAAACTGTAAGAGAATAAATTTCTGTTTGTTAAAGCCATACACCTGTGGTTATTTCTATTGTAGCAGCAGTAGATAACTAAGACAGTTACCTGTTGGTGAGTGGAGCTATCTGAGGTCAGGTAGAACATCTGTTCTTGAAGAATATAAACTGGTAAAATAAATTTTAACTGAAAATAAGGTTAATAATGCAGGAGGAGGGAGGAGGCTAACAAAAGCCTGGAAGGTTCTTGGAGAGTGTCATTTCCAAATACAATCTAACCAGTTGCCATGGAGTCGACGCCACTCATGGTGACCCCATGTGTGTCAGAGTAGAACTGTGCTCCACAGGATTTTAAATGATGGCTTGGACAAGGAGGTGTGTAGAAGCTGCTGGGGAGAGAATGAAAACAGTAGATATATTTGCAGTCTATTAAAAACACCAAGGGCGAATATGATGAGGAGCTAACATTAACACTGCTGTTAGAAATAAAAGACTAGTTTAGAGAGTGTTTTAGGACATAGACTTAATTCACCTTGGTAAGTAAACTGGAATGGGGATGGTGTGGCAGTTAGGATAGAGGAACTAAGATGCTTCCCAGGTTTTAGCAGCCCCTCTGAGGTAAGAGATTAAGTAGTGTTTTGGTTTTAACAGCTGAGGTATTGGTACAGTGGCAGAATTTTGGCCTTTCATGCAGGAGACCCAGGTTGGATTTCCAGCCAATGCACCTCTCATACACAGCTACCAGCCATCTGTCAGTGGAGACTTGCTTGTTGCTATGATGCTAAACATGTTTCGGCAGATCTTCTAGAGTAAGGTTGATAAAGAAGAAAGGCCTGGCGAGCTACTTCCAAAAATCATGCAATAAAAATCCTATGAATCACAAAGGTCTGATCTACAACCGATCAGGACCAGGTAACGTTTTGTTCCATTGTGCATGGGGTCATTGACACAGCTAACAACAATGGTTTTACAGACCAAGAAACTGAGGCTTAGAAAGCTTGAACAAGGTCACAATGCTAGTAAGAGGTAGAGCCTGAATTTGATCCCAGGTATGTCTGACTCCAGGGACTGCATGTGTAACCACTAGGCTACACTGCCTGTGTTACTAATAATAAATCTGTGTTCAAGATTCCCAAGGAGAATACAGAAAGTGAGAATAGAGGGCCAAGTAAGAAACCCTAAGCAGTGCTTATATTTAGAAGCAAACAGAAGAAGTACAAGATAGAATATCTTATAGATAGATAAGAATGAACAAGACGGAGATGGATTTTAATTTGTATATAGGCAACTGAAGCTAAATTTTCACTTTATGTGAAATGACCTCTAAAAAATTACTGCAACATTTTAAGTGACCACTTATTGAGAATAAAATCAGCTAGTCTATAAATATTCAGTTTAATTAAAGAAACTGACATCTTTGTAATAAAATAGTATTTTAGTAGGATATTCTTCTGGTTAGTGTTTAAAATAGGAATGATTTATTTAGGTTAGTATATGCAAACTCTAAGAATTCATGGAAGTTGATTTTTATTTATTTATTTGTTTCACTTCAATAAACTGATTTTACCTAACAAACCCAAACATTTGCTTTTATTTTCTATAAGAATGATAGATTTATAGTTATTCAAGCTTCTTTGTGTTAAATAATTCATCTATGCTCCATGAGAACCAATTTTAGTTCCCAAATAGTATACAATGAATATCACAAAATGCTGCTTACCCAAAGCCCTAGTCTAACTTGAAAGGACAACCTGACAAGAATACTAAGCTAGTACTTGAATATGTAGCCTTTATACGGTATTGATAAAAATACCAACAGTGTTAGGGCCCATAAATGATGTATATCATGTTATAGTTAGAGGTTATACCAATAGAAACAGAAGTGTAATATTACCCAATATGATGGTATTACTTTTATAGATTACTAACCATCTGTTTCTTCTGCTGGTAGCATTCTTACTTCTAAAGACCTAAGTTGTGAATTTTGAACATAAGAGAACACACATTTCTGGTTCCACAAAATAATTTTACAAACAACATTTCTTTATGGTCCACGTTCTATGAGTTATTATTTTAGCATGTCATTTATGTCTCGGAGAGAAAATTAATATAAGCTAACAATTCAAAATACACACACACATCTCTAAGTCTTCATTTCTTTCTTCTACCACCTAAAGTAGGATGCAGATGTTAAATACCATCAATAGTTAAGATAATCGGTAATGTCTTTATAAACATCCTCCCAAAATGAATGAGGCTTTCAACTTATCAAATATATTCAGTGAAGGTTTCGTACACCAAAGAATAAAAAATACAACTCGTGACTTTTTTAAATGCATGTTTACTCGACGTTAAACACAACAATTTACACGACTCAAATCTGACATCAGTCAGAGGACTCTGCAGCCATTACACACTCCTTTAAACAAAACAAGACAAAACAAAACCAGCCATCTGGAGCTCAGGCGATTAATGTACTATTCTGACATTTCCAACCTGTACAATTAAGGGCAAAACACTGTCAAAAGAAGAGGCTGCTATACTGATGTATACCTTTGGGGAAAACCTGAACATTCCTGAGGTTATTTCAAAAGTTTTCGCATGTTGCTGTCAAGCAGTAACACTGATATGCAAATCCACTTAGTCAATGAATATAATAAGAATTTCTAGGAGGAACAAGACATTATGCTAGGCATTGAGAGGAATGTGAACATGCATTAAAGTTCCTTGCCTGGCAAGAGCTGTTGTTCATGCAATATCAAAGATTTATTGCATCTCTAAAGTTTCTATAGTCACTATTTTAAATGCTATATAAAACCAACCAACACATTATAATTGCTTTACTCCCTTGATATAGTGGGGGGAACTGACTCTGGATTCAGGTAGATTTTATTTGGAATACACTTACTGAGTATACCATATTCCAGTCACAATACTACTCACTTTATATTTATTATCCCAGTCCTTATAAACAACCTTGCAAAGTAATAATTATCCCCATTTTACAAATGAGAAAACTGAAGGTCACAAAATTTAAGCATCTTATCTGAAGTCACACAGTAAGTAGTAGAGATTCAAACTCAGGACTATGTGAACCCCCTGATGCTGCCTGCAAGGTCCTGTGTAATCTTGCCCCCACTACCTCTACAGCCTCATCTGATTCCATGTCCAACACCTACTCACTACCCTCCAGGCACACTGGTCTATTATCTGGCACTCAAATACCCCAAGTCTATCCCACAATAGGGCCTTTACAAGTGTTCTTCCCTCCCCTTGGAAGGCTCTGTTCCTGAATATCTGCATGCTGTCTCCTTCCCATCATTCAAATATTGCCTCCTCCTTCACCATCCTATCTATGTAGTCCACCATAAAAGGACCATATTAAAAACAACAGCAACAAAAAATGTATCACTCTGTTTTAGTCTTTTGGGGGATCTTATTATAATTTGGTATTTTCCTTGTTTATTCATATATTGATTATCTGTCCTGCTTCATTAAGATGTAAGTTCCATGACAGCAGGGGCTTTATCTATTTTCTTAAGAGCTACAGTGCCAGCCCATGGCATAGTACATGGAACACAAGAGATACTCAAATAATATTTGTTGGACAGATGAATGAATGAATGAATGAGTGAATGGATGTGTACAAAACCTGTGCTTTTAACTCAGTTATTAAAATACACACACACGAACACAAAACTGGGCAAAAGTACATGAGTACAGGTAGATTTTTTATGAGATGCAAATAATCTTGGTAGAAAGAATTTGTGATGTGTTTCCCAGAAACACCGAATAGTATATCAAATGCACCCTCTGGCCTGCAATGGAAACAAACTTCTCAACTTGAGTCAGATCCTCTTACTACTAGGTAAATCTATACTCTCTGTCCATCGCAGAAACACATCTCTAGAGTCCTGACCTTACACAAACCTGTAGATGAACCCTCCTTCTTAATCACTTTGGATCCATAAATCATTTCATTTGTTCTGTCTGGTCCTTGGACCAGTTAACATCCCATATACATCATTTTAAAAGGATAGCTTTTACTAGAGTAGGTTGCAAACTAAAAAAATACCAGTCATACTGAGGAAGTAGTGTGCTGAAGAAGGAAAATCACTGGAGTAGAAATTATGGCACTTAGGTTTTAAACCTTGCTCAGTTACCAGTTTGCTGTATTCATTAGACCACACACACACAATGTGAGATACCCTGGTATTACTAGAGTTTTAGAAAATCCCAGGGTTCAGAGGGAGGCTCCTTTCTTCCAAATGTTATTCCTTTATTGAAGCACAAAAATCTGCATGGAGTAGGGGAAAGCATTTTCATCAGAAATATCACATACATTAGTAAATTTATAAATGTAGATTTCAAAACTAATTTATGACAAGTCAAACAAAATGGAAGGTGCTGTTATCACTAAATATGGCCAAAAAAAGTTTAAAACTGATTTTGCAACACTACTGACATTCCAAAGATTTCAAAAAGGGAGTTCTTGCTGAAATTATTAAAAAAAAAAAAATCCTACAAATCTATTATCAAAGTAGCTTAGTACCTGAAAGAAAAAATAAACCAAAAACTAAAAAGCAAAATCCTGTCCAAGAAAATAATCAATGATACGACTTTACATGAAGCACAAACTCTTGGTGATCAAAATATAATCAATCTAAAATATCTGCACACAGTATAGCCTCTACACCAGAAAAGTGAAATTTGAGAATAAAAAGAGTGGTGATACGCTTTAAGTTTTTAGAAAAATGTAGTGCACGTGCAAACTACTATTATTTTTACCTAAGGTATTAATTATTTCCAAGAACCTTGTAGCTCCTATGGTGTATTAGTTATCTTGGAAGCAGATGACCTTCATGCATTGCTTTTATTTCTTATCTGAACCAGCAGATTAATTCAATCAGTAAACATTTACTAATCATCTACTGTGTCCTAGACACTGGGTATACAAAGATATCTAAGACACAGCCTCTGCCCTCAAGTAGCCTCAAAGTCAGGTTAAAGAGGTTGAGAATAGCTGTTTTTTTGCCAGGAGATTTTTCTATAAAAATTTCTAAATAAGGTTCAGGAATTATTTAAATTTGTTACCTAACTCTTACACTCATCCTAAAGATACCCATTTTTTTTTTTTACCATAACACTCTTTCTAGATTAGAAAAAGCAGATCTATAGACAGAACATTGCCAAATTAAGGGAAAAAAATTGATTCAAGCAATGAGGTTAAATTATTTTTCACTCCACTATTTCATTGCTCCTTTCTTAAAATATCACAAATTAGGAAATCAAGATAATTTTATATTATTTTTAGACTCACCATGATAACTCAAGGTGTTTTCTTTACAATAATTGATTTCCCTTTTTTATTTTTATATATGATAAATATGAAAGATATATGTAAACTGTATAAGTTATAAAGCACAAAATAATTTTCCTGAAGTCCAGTATCAAGTTTTTGCTACATTTGGAGAAAACCTGTAATCACTCTATACTTTGTATAAGTAGACAATAAATGCTTTAAATAATAAACTGGGAAAAGTTTGAGAGTATAAAAATTAATTTCTACCATTCAAATTTTAGATTGACTTAAATATTTGGTATCTAATATTGAAACTATTTTGGAAGAATATAAAATGTATTAGAAAAAATATTTCATTAATCCCTCTGACATCCCTATAAGGTGAGACATATTATCCCCGTTTTACAGATTGGTCAAGTTCCTTAATCAAATTTGCCCATGACACACATTGACAAATGGAGCCGGGAACAGAACCTAGGGCATCTGACTTCTAAGTCCAGTTTTCTAGCTGTCAGGCTTTTCTCTCATACCTTTGGCACTTTTCATTGTCCTAGCATGAAGAACAGGATTGCTTATTCTCCAAAGGACTGGCTCAGTTGTCAAGGCCACAAAGTTACAGAATTTACAAAAAAATTAATTGCTTTAGTATGGGTGTTTAACACAGTAGTGCAATATCACAGCGTAATACCCCAGCACAAACAATCCAAGCATAGACAAATACACCATAGACTGTCTGCCTTCGGAAAAAGTAAGCACAAGATTCACATATATATACATATATGTATACATATATATACAGTTAAAGAAACTAAAAAGCCCTGCCCATGTGGTGATACTGGTATTCCTTTACAATGCTAGTAGTAATATGTGGCTTCATATTACGTTTTTCGAAAGGCCTCTGGTAAAAAGAACCAAGAGCCTCAAAAAGTATGCGTTCTCTTTAACCTAGTAATGCTACTTCTAGGAATCTATCATAGGAAGCAATCTCAATAACAGACATACCTTTATGCTCTGTTTGTGATATCATTTTTATAATAGGGAAATTGGTAAACACTTAAGAAATCCAATGGTAGGGAAATAGAGGTAAACTACGGTACCTACTTAAAATGGAACATTATGCAGACATTAAAAATTTTTAATAATATGGAAATACTTCTTTGAGTCAATGATATCTTGAGCTGAGATACAAAACTGTATGTACAGTATGATTTCATCTCTGTAAAAATATTTCTATCGCCTAAAGAGAACTCTATGACAATGTTAATGATAATTTCCCTGAGCAATAGGATTTGAGATGTTTATTTTCCTCATTTAAACTTGCTATGCTCCAAGTAATGTAGACTGCTTCAAACATAGAAAGATAAGGGTACAATTCATGGTAACCACAAAGAAAGTTAACAAACACACTCATAAAAATAAAGAGGAAAAACTTGAAGTCTCAGCAAAAACAAAACCTACAAAAACGAAAGAAATGAAAAAAAAATCCACAAACAAAAGTAACTCAGCACAAGAGAGTAAGAAGAACAAAGAAAATGCCAACACCACAAAAAAAGCACTACAAAATGACAGCAACAAACTCACATCAATAATTACACTGAATGTAAATGGACTCAATGCACCCATAAAGAGACGGAGAGTGACAGAATGGATAAGAAAACAGGATCCATCAATATGCTGTCTACAACATACACACCTGAGAAACAAAGATGTGAATTTATTAGAGTCAAAGTTTGGAAAAAAATATATCAAGCTAACAACTACCAAAAAAGAGCAGGACTGGCAATACTAATCTCAGATTAAATAGACTTTAAAACAAAATCCATCATAAAAAACAAAGAAGGACACTATATAATGACAAAGGGGACGATCCATCATGAAGACATAACCATAATAAACATCTACGCACCCAATGATAGGGCTCCAAAATACATAAAACAAACTCTGGCAACACTGAAAACAGAAATTGACAGTTCCACAATAATAGTATGAGACATCAACACACCACTTTCAGTAAAGGACAGAACAACTAAGAAGAAACTCAGCAAAGATACTGAAGACCTAAAGGGCACAATCAGCCAACTTGACCTCACAGACATATATACAACACTCCATCCAACCACTGCAAACTACACATTCTTTTCCAATGCACATCGAACGTTCTACATAATAGACCACATCTTAGGCCACAGAGCAATCCTCAACAAGATCCAAAATGTTGAGATAATTCGAAGTATCTTCTCTAACCACAATGCCATCGAGGAAGAAATTAACAAAAGAAAGAGCAAGGGAAAAAAATCAATTAAATGGAAACTGAGTAATACCCTGCTTACACATCATTGGGTAACAGAAGAAATAAGAGATGGAATCACAAAATTCCAAGACTCGAATGGAATGAAAACACATCATACCAAAACCTTTGGGACACAGCTAAGGCAGTCCTCAGAGGATAATTTATAGCAATAGATGCACATATCAAAAAAAGAAGAAAGGGACAAAACCAAAACATTAACAACAGAACTCCAACAAATAGGAAGAGAACAGCAAAGAAAGCCCATAGCCACCGGAAGAAAGGAAATAGTAAAGATCAGAGCAGAAA